AATCCCCGGAAGTTGACACTATTCGTCCAGAGGTATTGGGAACAGCAGCAAGGCAACTGGTAAAAGTTTTGGTCCAGTTCATTCAGCGCTGGTCAAACAGAACCAGATTCCCACGATGTGGAAGCTTGGAATAATAACAGATTCACAAAGGCGGAAGCGGGACTGAGCCCTCAAACTACCGCCCGGTGTCTCTTCCCCCTGTATTATCCAAACACATGGACTCCATCGTTCCCGATGCTTTGGTGTGTTATCTAGAAAATTGAAACATTATTGCACCCGATCAACATGGCTTTTGTTGAAAATGTTTGTACACTAAGAAATTATTATTCGCATAGAGAAGTTGGACCGAGTTGACTAACGCTGTAGACGCCGTCGATGTGATCCAGTTGGATTTGTCGGAAGAATCCGGTGGTTTAGATCGTCGGAAGCTTTTTTCCAAGCTCCAGTATTCCGGGATCGGGGATGCTCTCTTGAGCTGGATTGCCAACTTTCTCTAGCTACGTCAATCAGTGATGGTGGGATTTGCTTACCTGAACGCATACCAGTGGAGTCTAGTTTTCCCTAGGGCTCAATCATAGTTCCACAATCGTTTGTGATATTCATCCATGATCTTGAACGGCATTTCGACTCAAATTTTCTGCTGTTTGCTGACGGTATCAATATTTGGTGACGGATTCAGGCGGATGCCGATCAAAATTTACTTCATTGGGACTTATATCTGGTACATGAGTTGTCAACCCGAAACCTCATAGAGTTCAACGTGTACAAATGCAATGTACTCGCCATACAACACCACAGCACCTATTGCTACAAGCTAGGAACACAAGGACTGTAGCGATCATCCGTCCAACGCGACCGTTTCGTCCTTGTTTAGGATAACTTGAATTGTTCCACACAATCTGAAAAGACTTCGAAAAACGGTAACCAGCACGTCGGCTTGCTCCGAAAGGCGTTCGGACAACTGACAACACTATTTTCAGTGAGATACTGGATGCGTGTGTTCTCACCCAAGTCGTAAGCGCAATCCAAGCCTGACAGCTATGGCTGAATTATGATTTTACTGTATTGGAGCAAGGTTAATATCGGGCTACCAAACACCTCGTTGAATTGTGCCACTTTCCATATGAGTAAAGGCTGTAACGTTTAGGGGTATTCAGGGGCGGCTCCGCCAAATAGGAGGCAAATTGATTATGCCATATTTGATTATACACAAGCCAAATCATGTTTGCCGCTCTTTACTGCAACTCAGAATTAGCGTCAACACTAGAAATAATTCCTTGAAATTAGCAGAATAGTACTGCCGTCTGGCTTGCCGTAGAAATTTGATTTCCATTCGGGCATCTCAAGCATTTAAAACTTTCCGCGTGTCTGTTTTTTCTGCACCCAAGCTAGCCATATTTAAAAGTCAGTTGGATGACTCACTCCGGTGATTACATTTGGGTACTTGACGCCACTCTCCATCCTACTCACGGGAAATACCTCGGACTTTTTCGCTCATTGAACCTGGGAAAACACTCGGAGTGCAAGGCTATGGCATTACGCATGATAAGTCAATTATTCTGAAAGCAGTATAACTAACAGCAATATTCATTACAGTTTTCAAATAAATTTAGGTTAGTTCACAAGTGCAAGTAGTTCACAAGCTACATAGCACAGTCTAGTCCGGCAAATCATCAGACGCGTTTAGCCGTATTCGGACTGGTCAGTGTTGCGCAGTGCCTCGATCAACTACTGCGGATCGAACCCATGACCATTAGAGGCAGATGCTAACTAGCCAGCAGCTTAAGCCAATAAGCCACTGGGCACGCCGTTTGAAATACTTAATTTACAAGCTAACTGGGATATAACCCAACCTATCTTTCACTGTCACTGACAGTGGCTGACCTGTGAAGTGATGACATATTCATGCTAGACGTCATATCCATTGCTTTTGAAACTAAGAGAAACTATTTATTAATTGTTACTCCTAAGTAACAGGCTTTTAGTGGTAAGTTTAAGGTATTAACTTAGTCCACCGAACTGCCCAACCAGGTTTGTAAATCATTGCTTCTCAACCCGCATGAAATCCTTTTTCATTGTTCTTCCTTAAAGTCATTCAGCGACTCTCGTGGTATTGCAACAACATTTTACATGATGAAGGTGCGGATTGCATGCCAAATAATGAAGGCACTCTAGAAGCGCTGTTGATATTTAACTGATTTGTGTTAAATTTAAATTTTGCTGTGATCTAGATTTTCCTCTTTTAAAGAATTATTAACACACATAATTTCGATGGCACTTCCTAGGAGCCATGTTTCATCCACGTAGTGTCTTTCTCTGCAACCATACTATGATAACCAATGCCGCTATAGTCTGATATCCTTATGCGTTTCCGTGCATATCTGTAACGATAATCGACCTATCGTAAACAAAGTATGAACAATGTACAAAAAGGGGCATGCATAAATAAAATCCTATCGCTCTGGGTGGAAAATTACCAAAGGGAGGTATAACATAGGAAGTATGACCATGATCGTGTTATCCGGTTCGGATTTTCCATTTACTTTGGCGTACATCTTACAGCCACAGAACTTCGTCGTCTACAGAGGGACCATAGGCTGCTTTCGCTGCATCCCACACAGCTCCATCCAGTCACCCTATATCCCCTGTACATTCGAAGGAATAAGACCGGTAAGCATGTGAATGGGAACCACGTTTCATCAACGAAGCCGGACCACACTCCTTCAACAAGCAGAGCGGAACTATTAATTTCTAATTGGGAAATCGTGGGTACCAGCCGTACACGAGTTAGTGGCTGGGCCGTAGCCTGTTCCACACTGGATGCATGTAACCACACTTTAATCCTAGTCCCTTCAAAACGGCTGTGTAAGCTATCTTCTCTAGCAACGACCAACTGCCTCCTGGAGCCAGTACAGACGAAGGATTAGGTAATAGACAGGTATTCATCTTGCCAACCTTCACGTCAAGCGCAGCTACATAAGGGATATCAATCAACAGCTAATCCATGAACTACTAGAAATTTAACACGCGGACCCACGTGCAGAACAAATGCTACGACGATGCGGCACACTTACCACATCAACCGCCTTATTAGCCTGGAAGCGGACTCAGCGCACCTACCAATCGCTGCTTTCATTATGCTTATGTAAGCCGTTGGTTCGCCGCTTTTGGGATGCTGGCCCCCTGTGACAACTCCGCTTGTTTACCAAACGCGCTTGGTTCAGGTACTCTCGACCGCAGTTGTTACAGCACCATGCGCTAGAAATCGATGGCTTAGAATCCATCAGCGTCTGCAGCTTCCGTACCCCGGCGTTTCTCCTCCGCTTGAAATAGTGCCTTCTCCAGCGCTTGAGCAACCGCCCACCTGATTTACTCACACCATTCACGCCAAGCAAGTTCTTTGGATTTTCAGCGCCTGCGATTAACATTAGTTCGCGCTAAACTCAACTTCATCATGTCCCATTAATATAATCTTGGTTTTTCCGCATGCCGCTTCCCTCCATTATGTTGGCCGTACAAAAGCCTTTTAGCTATATTCCTCAACGTCATCCGGCTGATATGCTGTATTCACCTCAGGTTCCGCAGCCGAAGCATGCAATTCACTTCACACATGCCACTGCGGCGCAGCAGTTCCGTAACACTGCCGCATCAACCGATGCGTAGGATCCGTCGTGGACACATTTCTTGAAATGGCTCCTCCCGTCACATCGTCCACGTTTCGCTGCCGTATAGAAGAAAGGACAGCAACATCGCCTCGTATACGAGCAGCTTTTTTTAACTATAAGCTGTCAGTAGTTCCATACACGTTTTTCTATCTTTCCTAATGCATCAGCTGCTTTCGATAGCGGCACACATGGCACGCTCATCCTCTTCAGTTCGGTCTAAATACACTACCCATGTAGCAAAAACTTGGAGTGGTATCCAAGATGTAGTCAATGATGCGTATTCGCGGCTTACATAAAGTTTCCATTTCCGGTGTAGGATAAAAAAAATACAGCTTAGAATTTGAGCGTCAGCTTGAAGTACACATTGTGTGGGTGCACTACGGCACACAGTTGCAATGGTTAATCGGATTCCTGCAGAAGTGAGCCTTGGTCTTTCGATCACGAGGATTGTGGCGGAAGCAGATAAAAATCGAATGTTACGCGCTCGAAAACCTTTCACTGACTCGTTTCGATCTCATTTGATCACCTCAGATTGAGATAGCAGGTATCGAACCGTGGACCATTTTGATGTCAATTGTAACCGCTAACTCAAAACCATCAGAACGCCATGGGAAAATCTTAGCCCAAAGGTTAATGATTGATTTTGGGGATCATTTGAATTGCCCATTGTGTGGACGGAATGCGGCACGCAATCTGATGATATGAAATACCCTCGAAACGCGTCATAGGAGTGCAGTGTTTTCGGGCGTGCAACACCCAAGTTCAGCTATGGTCCCGTGATCGAAAGACCAAGGTTTCTTCAATGGGAATCGCGGTCAACATTGAGATCGTGTGTCACAGTCTATCCACGCAACGTGTACTTCTGAATGGCCATCTAAGTCAATCATTAGAAGTTGTGTCATGCTTTCCCTGTCGTGACCCGGTGACTTAGGATTGACGCCCGTAGTTATCCTCCGAATTTAAGCGGGTCAGATGCCTGCTCTCTCTAAGTGATGTGATGATTAACATCGAAAGCTTCATAGCATGCAGTGTTTTCCTGCGGGTAACACTGAATACCTGTCGGCTTCAGCTCCCATCTTCTTGATCAATAATCATTGTTCAATTCAAAAGGAATCGCGCTGAACATTAAAATTGCATGTCCCTGTCCATCTACACAACCTGTACTTCAAAAGCGCCCTCGAAATTAATCATCACAAGTTGTGCCATGCGTTGTCCCTGGTGACCAGTTGGCTCACTAATAGCGGTCACAAATCCGGAACTTATCGATTCACGGCAAATTATCCACTTAAAATAGCTAATCCACTGCTAGCCGCACCCTTATTATCAAAAAGTATTTGCAACATAAGATCCTTTCATGTGTCTGCAAATTAAAGCAAAACAACCCTTTGGATAGAAAAGAAAGTGTTCGACGTTGAGATAAGCGATACTAGGGGTATTCTACTATCACAATTTACGACATGAAAGAGTAGCAGGATTGTTTCCAGACGTTTACGCAGTCCTGTCAAGCACTAGAATACTCCTGCTCATGCGCTCGAAATGCCGACCAGTTCGCACGATTTCGTCCACAGCCATTTACAGTCTTCTTCGTTGAGTGCTGCTGCTGACGGCTCCTTCAATGCGCAATTGGAATAATAAGCGCCCGGCTCCAACGATTTGGCTAACACAGTATACAACGTCGTCTGCGTCCCTTGCCATGGGGTGATTTGCAATGGGCGTCCAAACTTTAGGTAAAGTACCTGGAAATAATGAATCAGGTGGTGATTTTTTGCAACTAAATGAGCTTATTCACTGAATTGTGATTAGGAAATTGGTTACAGTTACCTAATGAGTGCAAATGGATTTGTTGGCCTAAAATGTACTTGCACGCCTTTGCGTCAGCTATATTTCTGTCACCCACAGTTTAATATGGGTTCAGTTCGAGATTTTTAAACACGATAACTATTAACTCATTGATCTTCAGTGTGGACTTCCCAATGATTTACGCAGACGGTTTTGCTATCAAAGAGGCGGAAATGCATGTCAGAAACCCAGTTTGCGCACACAAAGTGCTACCTATCTGAAGTCCCGGCTAGACGAAAGCTTTTAATTAACACTCACCAAATGATGCTACACGGTGGGTGCCTGCACACCGGTAACTCGGAAATAAGCCAGCGCGTAATGATCCTATGTACTAGGCACCCAGTGATGTTTTGTTTCTACGGAGATAAATGGGATAACTTTTCAATGGTGCTGCCGTCGTTTTGTATCTCACAGGTTATACGCCATTTCTAGACGCTTCTTTAGTAAATCATGTTAGTCTAACTGATCAATACGCAGGCAAAAGTCACAAAATATAGCACAGATCAAGCATATAATGACATATTAAGTTCCATCTCTCAGTTATGGTTATCGAGTAAGAACGAAGGAAATTCAACGGTTCTTTACTGCCTTTGTATGCACGAGGACATCTTAAATGTGCCTGATACTAGACATCTGAGGCAGAGTGATGGTGCAATTTACAACATTGAATATCGATTTTGTCTTAGTTACGTAATAAACGATTTTTGATTATAAGAAATAGCTGGTCACTAAAGGACGTTAGACTCAGTAGTGTTGCTGAAAGTGATATTCGTTACGGACTTCTCAGACCGAGCTATCTGGATGTCTGCTGAAGATATTGGACCTGCATTTGATAAATAGATGTTAAACTGTTTTCTGCCGTCATATTCTTTTGAAGTTCGTTGGAAATATTCTTAATATGCATTTTGGTATGAAGGGTTAATGTAAAAGAAACATGTTCAGTAGTACATGATCTGCGATTCCAAGTCATTTGAATATTGGCATGTGACTTTGACGGCATCTACGATGAGTATGCAAGTTATTCGTCTCACGGTTGTTCTTTGTCAGAATTAGCAAAAGCGAAAGAAGGCATTTCAGTAAATTAACAATAGAATACACTTACTTGAGTACCGTTGCTGAGACCATTGTGACGGTCTTAATATTCTGGAAAATGTTAGTTATACTGGCTTTTACAGCAAAGTAGGTCACTTTTACAGATGAAGCAATACATTGCAAATTGGTAATCAAAGTGCGGTAGCTCATGGCGAGTGCGCAATGTAATTTACATCGGAATGTTTGATGAAAATGTTAATCCACGGTGTGTACTACAGAGCTTATGTGCACAGCTGAGGTCGTCGAGTTTTATGCAGAAGTGCATGGGGAGATTCAAATATAATTAAGGCGCCACACATTTTAGCCGTCAATTCTACCAAAACTGGGAGTGAGACATCAAGTGGACTGCAATATTCATGGGATTTAACGTCAATCAACATTCACTGCTTGACAAAGTTACAACTGGAACCGATTTTAAGGATAAATTTCGTTACTATTAATATGCTTACTGTGTCCGTGATATTTTATGTGCAAATGTTACGGCGCATAGTCAGACGCTTTGCACACAAAACGAACCAAAAAATTATCATCAGCCCTACAACTTAAAACTATTGTGGTGGTTGTAGTAGTGTTTTATATACTACAAGATAGATTGCTCCTGTGAAAGGATACCTGCCATCGTGTAACCACAGCTATGTATCGCTTGCTCGCTGCTCTCAGCCAACACCCACTTTTGCAAAGCTTTGATTGGTAGACAATCACGGAAGGGAACGGATATCACATTCATCAATCCCGTGTGTGAGGGAATAGCCAAATTCAAGTACAAAATTTTACTGCTAGACTAAACAAATCTAAAAACGGATGGCAGTTGAAGTTGCAAACAGCCCTCGTTTGTGTCAGCTGAATCTAGACATCCTGTATCATAATGTAGGCATGACATCACCTTCCATGCGACATTTTATATAAACAACGGACCGTAATTAATGTGTTATTACTTGACCATCATCTGAAAGGTCATTGAGTTTGCGGGTTGCATATTTACTAGACCCGTTGGTTACTGGGGAATTTTCCTGCTGAACACTAATGTACCATAGGGGCTACTTTGCAGTTACGGTTTGCTACACAGTCACAAAATCTCCGAAGTCCACCTAGCGATTTTTCGTCATTCCAGAATATTCCATCCTCCTTTTCAATAATTGTTGCCCGGTACAATTATCTTTCGAAAAGTACCTAAGTTGAACATCTGTTATTTTTTATGATGCACGTTGTGCGCCATTAAATACTCCGATATAACCAGATCCTTGCAGTCATACACATTTCAGTGCTAAGTAGACAAGCCAGGGACTATTTCTGGTCGTACATCATTTGCTAATTTTATAAGTTAAAGAGGTCGAACACAGTTTTTCCGTTCCATACGCGAGATCGTCAAGCGTTTCGCGGACCTTAGAGACAAATCGCCAGCATACAACTGCTAGACGTGTACAAAAGTAGATATCGCTCCCATCCGCTATACAGCAGCTCACTGATAATGTTACCTCGTTTGACGTTGCTACTTTCGAAGCAAAACTGACGAGCTCAGCGATGCCTTTGTTCACCAGCAATTCCCGCATTCACTTCAACCGTTAATGGATGGCTTTCCACGGTCTCTTAGTGTAATGTTGATTTTACTAAAATTTATAGATTAAGTGGGATTTTACCGTCTGCAGCTTATCTCCAGCGGATGGAAGAACAATGACAGTGAAGCCAAAGCAGGATCATTAAAACAATAGCCTTAAATAAAGTCTAATTACTGAAGATGTAGTAAATAACACTAATTGTTCTTGAGTAATGTATACGTATTTTTAACAGCATTCGTCAAGTCTATAATACCTCAAGTTTACGCTGCATTAACAATAGCTACTTAAGTTCGGATAACTCTCGAACTTACATTATTCTACTGAAACTAGTGCTTTTTCTTAAACATAACTATTGCGATTCACGACCGTATGATGAGAATGGCATAATAGCTTCTTAATGACACCAGTTGGCTGCAAATAGCGCCTCCCCCTCGCGCTTTTGCTGCTGTATACAGGATTCCATTTGCTAACAACTGGTGGATCTTCTTGCCTGCTCTTACTATCAAAAGTATTGGGTCTCTGTTGCGCTATTCTCTATAACACCCATACAGATACCGCATCTTCGTTCCATCTTCCTTTGCTCCTTCCATCCCTTGTTCCTGCACCCCTTACTTTCTACCGGCTCCTCAGGGCCTGCCTTTTGCCAACTTTCTATAGTACTATGACTCCTATCACTTCCCGGACGTTACGAAACCGTCAACTAAACAAAGCGCTCGTAAACAGCCCGCTGCTAAGAGTGCAAAGAAGCCTAGCCAAACGAAGCAATGTATAGTTGGCGCCACCGAGCATGACCCGGAATTGCATAGAAAAATTACAGTTGTAGAAGCTGACTTGGAAGTACATAAGCGGAAAGTTTCTACTTTTGAATCTCTGTCTCACTACTTGACTTCCCTATCTGACTTGATGGAAATGGCGCTGAACACTTCCGCTCGGCATCTACAGCATATTAGTAAGCTTGTTTGCAACATAGCTGCCGAGACAGACCAGCGAAACATCAGGTCAATAAATCAATTGTCTTTAATAAATCAGACAGATGCACCAACGACTCCTTAAAACATACCCTGCTGAAAGCAAGTCTAGAAGGTGCGACCGACTGTAACGTGAAGCGGCTTCGTAAAATGTCGCTAAAGCATAGCTGCCCGGTAACGTTTAGCTTTAATAACACATCCGACGCCAAAGAGTTCATAAAAAGTGGAGCAATCAACGCATAATCCACTGAGTTCAAGTCCGTTGTTGTCAAGCCTGATCGCACGACACTACAAAGGATCGTCCTATCCTCACTAGAACGGAAAAGGAGTGCCGTTCCATCCAATTGCTCCCCAAATTTTGGCCCAGAACATCGCAAACTAGGCCCGGTTACTTACGCCGTGGATCACTGCGTAGACATCGACGCATCTGAAGAAACTAGTGCAAACCACAACGTAAACGGGAGAAATCAGCTGACGTCCTACACATTAGCCGACGCTACCACCATCCGTAGAGCTTCGCGAAACCGGCCGTCGACTGTCAAGCTTTTGGCACCCGATATCGATTAGACATGTCTTGCAGAAACATCAGGATGTGAAGAAGACCATTGCGCCATTGTGCGACCCACTACGCCGATAGCACCAGGTATTATATCCGAGACGCCATGCGCAGATGCATGCAGCATGTCGCTGAGTGGTATGACGCTTCCATTAACCCACGATAAACCACCCAAACGTAAACCGTCCAGCCCCACACCCATATATATTGGTGTCACGTGTACTGTCGCTGCTCATAAAACTATCCCGTGACCAACGGCTCTGGGAACGTTGGTCGCTCTGAGTGTTCCAAAAGAAGTCCCTGTGACCAGAGCAGTGAACACCATAAGGAATCAATGCATGCTCTTCAGTTCGTTGCTTACAAGAACCTGACTAGCACCGTGGTCACACAAATACCCGCGTCCAATTAAGCTGACACTATCCGATAAGAGTGACGAAGAACGGCTGGCAAACCAGTGCCTGCACCTTGCGCGAAATATCCCTTAGGTAACTCTTCGCTTCAGCCGCTACATGAACAGAGACCGTGCACACCGGAAAAATGTAGACGTTCCTACTACTATTAAACTGGGTACTCCACAAGCTACCCATACGCTAGGCTCCCCAATTACACCCACCAACCAATTTTCTTTCCAACAGTGGTCACTTAACCGCTACCACCCACGCCACAAAGTCAGCTAATCCTATTCCATAAACTGATGTTAATGGTCCAGAGCCTCCAGTCTACCC